GTAGTAGTGGTAGTAGTAGTAGTAGTGGTAGTAGTAGTTGTAGTAGTAGTCGTAGTAGTAGTAGTAGAAGAAGAAGTCGTACTGGTGGCAGCAATTGCACGCAGCGCTTGGGAGAACACGGTCGTGTGGACCGCGGCGGCTGGAAAAGAAAATCGCCATCATCATCATCATCATCATCATAATCACCATCATCCCCATCATGGTCGTCATCGCTCTACACGCCAGGGCACGTGCAGGCGGATAGTCAGGTCGACGATGCTTTTTCACCGGCGCCAGAGCTTAGAAAGGATTACCTGACCAACTGAGGGCACTGGGCTGCCACGAGCGTGGGCAGCCTGCTGCAGCGAGAGTGAGCACAGTGCGACTGCCCTTTGAAAAAGGCGAAGAGGAGGCGGAGGGGAGGAGGAGGAAGCAGCGTGACTTGAGCCGTAATCATTACGGACAAGTGGCACCTCACAAAGCCTCTAGACCCAAATCTACAAGTAGTGCAAGGTCGACGATGCTTTTTCACCGGCGCCAGAGCTTAGAAAGGATTACCTGACCAACTGAGGGCACTGGGCTGCCACGAGCGTGGGCAGCCTGCTGCAGCGAGAGTGAGCACAGTGCGACTGCCCTATCCCACCTTATGTGCTCTGGCTATAGTCTTGGCCAGCAGTGAGCAAAGGGCGGGAGGGTAGGGTTCAGCGCGCTTTGTCCAAAAGACTCCAGTGGGGTCTTTGCCCTCCAACGCCCAGTGTGGCAACTTAGTTCTAGAACAAAGCGACGTAGTACATTTTCGTGTCAGCGAGCTGAGGCCAGGGACAGTGCCAACAAATTTTGTGGCTTTCCGCCAGCGTTCTTCGAACATACAGAAGTCAAGCCGAGCGGTGGACAAGTGCAATTCACTGAGCAACTGCATGAATTCGGGAATCACCCACAAAATTGACGTGAGAGGATTCTCGATCGTAACTGTGATACCTTTTTTCGCAGCTAATCGACAGGCTTTGATCACAAAGGCAATGAGCTTATTAGCAGCAACAACTTTGCAGAGGCCCGTGCCCTCCAGGTCGGGGTATCCCCAAGGAAAAGTGTTCGACCTGAGAGGGGGAGGACCAGAGCCTCCGGGGCGCCGAGCTCGCGAGAGGGTCTGACAGGGCAGCGCAAAGTGGAGATGGCAATACCTACGATGACGGATGCCCCTCATCAGTCTGTCCTGGCTACTTGGGAGCGTGAGGTCACACGACGGTCCGTCTAGTATGTCCCAACCTTCACACGGAATTCCCCGACGAGCGAGCGCCTTGGCTAGCCTCCCGGAGCCTGCAAAGACCTCTGCCGCTTTCCGACTAGGCGACGGCCTATCGTCCGAGGAGGTCGGTTGAGCTGCATAGAACGTCCATGGAGCCACTCGTCGAGGCACTGCACGGCGAGGCGGCTGTAGGTCAGGGTGTCCGACGGTGTGCGGTTCATCGCCTGCTGCACCTTCCCAAACTTTTCGTAGCGTCTGACGGAGTTGAACGTCTTCCAGCCCCCGCGCTTCTGGATCTCGGAGAGGTCGCGCCTCCTCAGCATGGCATCCCTCGACGCACCTCCGTGCCTCACCTGGTACGTGCAGAGCTGCTCGGCGGCCAGCCCGACGAGGTCGGCGGCGTTCTCGAACGCCTCCTTGTACTGGCTGATTGACAGGCGGAACAGCTTCTCGCTCGGGTCCCGCCCCTTCGCCAACTGCACCAGGTGGGATGAGATGTGCGCGTCCAGGTCCTCGACCGAGACCGTGTCGTCGAAGCTCCCCGTCTTGCGCGGCTGCCCCCTCTCCTCCGGCCGTATGACCAGGCAGAGGCGGTGGTAGCCCCGGAGGCGGGGCGCAGGCAGCACCACATCCCCAACCTGAAGGTCTGTAATCTCCCCAGGTCGGGAATATGTATCGTGGGCCGTCAGCAAGCAGAGGGCCGCATCCCGCCGCTTCGTGGCCAGCAAGGTCCCCGCTATGGCGGCCGTCCATTCCCAAGGCAGCCCAAAGCGAGAGGCGCCGGGGGCGGCCTTGCGGAAGCCCCTCAACGCCCTCCTCATCCGCGTCAGAGGCAGGGCTAGAGGGCGAGGGCCTCCGCTCCTCATGAACTTGAGGGCCCCGAGGAGCTTGTCCCCCGACGACGCCTCGTAGCCCTGCAGGTAGATCGCATCCAGGTAGTCGACCGCCGCCGCGTCCACGTCCTCGTCCGAGTGCAAGGAGATGCCCTCGTTCGCGGCCCACTTGGCGAACTCGGCGTAGGTCGCTCTGTATGTGGCCGCCTGCTGGGGCTGAACCGACGCCTGCTCCAAGATACTGAGCTGGTGAGGGTCCCTCTTGAGCAGGAGCGGCCCGGGAGTCACACCCCCCGCTGGGACAGCGTGCCTCGCCCTCCGAACCTTGGCACGGTCCTCCCGCAGACGGCGACTCCGCTGCGCCGACGGGTGGTCCCTCGGCGGCTGCAGCAGACCTGCCACCGGCGGCGCGGCCGATCTCGATGAGCTCGTCGATGCTGTAACGACGGACAACACGCCCTCCGGTGGCGCTGGGAGCCGCCTGCGATGGGACGCGGGCCCCGCGGGCCTCAGCACATGCACTTGTGTTGCCTTCGTTGGAGCTGGCGTCCGAGTCGGTGCTCGGAGCATCGATCGTGGGAAACTCTTCACTGCGAGCCAAGTGGTTACAGGTAGAAGAAGATGAAGGGAAAGAGTTACGTCCGTGGTGTGTCCGCTGCGGGACTGAGGGTTCGAACATCCGAGAAGGCGCATCAGCATGATTAACTTCAGACACGATCCAACGCCATTTGAACTTGCAATTGAGGGCGACCGTGTAAGCCGCAACACTTCTACAACAACCCAGCATACGATAATCCCCACTGCGCCCCTTGGAGAAGGCCAAGATGGAGCCCATGGAGTCCCCGAGGATGAGGTGCTTCTTGTTGCGGTTCCCAACAGACCTCCCAAGAGACTTGCAAACCAATCTCCCAGTACGGGCCTCCAGCAGGGTGATGTGCTCGTCCCGAAACCAGGGCTTTGACAGGATGGTGTGCCAGGAGTCCTTCTCGAGCATCTTTGTGGGGACCTCCGGGAACCCGCGCCTTCTCTTCCAGGGGCGAGGGGGCGGCGGTGCGATAGGGAGTACTGTTTCAGCATTTTCGATCACATCTCGGAAGTGCCAGAGAGCTCCCGCACGCACGCCCCTCGCGAGCGCATGAGGCTGCTTGAAACGCCACCGCTCGTTGTACTGGCCAGTGCCGGCGATGAGCTTCTCGTCGAAAACGCCCTGGACGATCCCAAGGCCTGTCTCCGACGAGTCGAACATGTGGGCCGTGGGGCTCCACGGCCGACGCAGGTTGGTGCGAGCAAAACGGACTAGAGCTGACAGCCACTCGCACTCCCGCGTGGCTGACTGCCACAAGCGGACCTTCTGCTTATAATGCACCCTGACAAAGCGATAGCACGCACCAAAGATGCTCAGCAGCGAGCGCTCGCCCATGAGCTGAAAAGTGCAATGCCCCAGGAAGCGCTCAAGCATCGCGCCTGTGATCCTGGGGCGGCGCGCAAGCCATCGGCCCGCGGCGGCCAGGCGGGTCGCCCTCTTGGCGGTGGGCCCCACCTCGCCAGTCAAGCCGTCGATGGCGAAGCCGAGGCTCTCGGCCCAGAGGGAGGCGTCCTCCTCCTCGTGTGCTGCGAAGCCGTCGGCCGTGAGCTGGCGAGCCACTGCGATGCGGGCGCCGTCGGCAAGCTCCGGGGAGCCCGCCCCGGTGGCGTGGTTGTCGCAGCAAGGCAAAGACACGAGGCCGCGGGCGCCGATCGTCGGGCCAGGCCGGCGATCCTGAAGTACCAATCCAGCCGTGTCCGGGAGCACCCCCTTGACGACGGAGGAGTGGACGATCTGTGCCAGATAGAAGCTCCAGCTGAATCCCATGGGAAGCACTCGGAAGGCGGGCGCAACGGCGTCGCGCCCGTAAAAATGGCTGAAGCGGCTGTCGTTGCCCTCCAGCTCGGAGACGAGCCAACCTGGGACGTCGTCGAGGCAAAAGTAGCTGGAGAGGTCATCGTCGATGCCGCAGGCGTAGAAGTAGTCCTTGATGTCCGACAGGCTCACCCAGAGGTCTGCGTCGTCCTCCAGGAGAATCTCTCCCCAGCTCGACCCGGTACCCATAGGCAAGTAAGGGCACCGCCGGAAGCGCCTGTTGGTGGCACGGCAGTCCACCACGAGCCTCTGCTTGCCCGTCTTCTTGGCCACACAGAAGACCGTGACTCGCCCACGTACCAGAGGCGCCCAGCGGATAAGGCCGGCCGAGTGACAGTCTCGGACAAACTGAAAATAGGCCTTCTTGGAGTAGCGAAGCTTCGGATCCATGTAGAGCTTGATGGGATCCGCCCGTTCACACACGGCGCCCCACTCTTGATCATCGAGCAGAATGTTGTTCAGGTCCTCGAGACAACAGCGAACCTTCGGCGGCAGCATCTCCTTGACGGGGACGGGCTCCGCCCCCACGTGTGGGATGCTGAGAAGGTTCCGGTCGTAGGACTGTACCAAGGTCGACTCGCCACCGTGCGCGGAGTCTGTCCCGAGGAGCGCGCGGACGGCTCCCTCGGAGCCGTAGTCACCTTGCGGCGGCTCGGCTGCGTCATGCACTGAACGAATGAATTGGATGGCCTCTCGCTGACACAGCGAGGGCGGGGAAGATGATGGCGTCAAATGGCCATCGAGAGCATTGAGGGCCTTGATCGTACGATTGACCTCGGCGTCCACAGCACTCCGCTTCAAAACTCGTCGCTGCACCGAGCGACTCACGCTGTGATCTTGAAGATGTTCGACCTCGAGCTCAGGAAGAGGGAAGAGGTCACGGGGAACTTGTACAGGTAGGCGAGACCCCTTCTCATACTTGAACCCAGCCGCCGGAGTCTCCAAGGGAGCGACTGGGTCCTGCGAGCTGGTCATGACCCCCCTGCGCCGGAGCCGCCGGCGCCCCCGTCTCCTTCTCCGCCGCCCTTACCACCACGGCCACGACCCTTCGGCTTCCGGAGGCGGATCTCCTCCTCGAGCTTGCGACCCTCCTTCAGGACCGCTGCCCGATCTCGTGCTGCGTCGGCGGCCCGCCTCTTGATAGACGGCGCCACCAGGGCGGCGCCACGCTGGACGCCCCAGCCCATGAAGTCGTCCGAATTGCTGTAGTCGGGGTTGCTGGGGTTGTACACGTGGGCCTGCTCGATGAGCTGCAGGCGCCGCCCTAGCAGCTCGAAGGAAGTCAAAGTCATCGTGTTCAATTGATCCAGCTCGATCGCGAGGTCGAAGACCTTGGAAATCACGAAATGCTCGTGGATGCTGCGGTCGCCGCTCGGGATGCCGCTGGCTGACAGCCATGTGTGGTGGCGCGTCACCATCCCCTCGGAGGACTGGGCCACTTCGGTGAGCAGCCAAGGAAGGCTCACATCACCCTGCAACGGCGAGTCGCCGAAGTCGTGGAACTCCTGGAGCGAGACGGCCTCGCGGAAGTTGCGGCCACGCTGTTGGGCCGACCTCCACTTCACCGGGATGACTCTCGCGTCGGTCTCCTGATCTCGGAGCAGCTTGATCATACCCGTGTCTTGACGCAATACCTCCTGCAGTATCAGACACTTGGCTCCTCGCTTGACCAACCAGTAGGCGCCCAGGCCAATCGTGATATCGCCTGGGACGTGGATGTACTCCTTCTCCGCCTCCGGGTCACCGTCGGCCGAGGACCCGATCACCCAGATGACACGTCCAGCTGCTGGCGCTGGAGGGGGACCCTCGCGAACAGCACCTGCCTCTGGGTCCAGCGCATGTTGCTCCACCCTAGCGTCAGAGATCGCCCTCATCACCAATAGCGGGGTAGGAGGTCCAGCTGAGCGGTCGGCGCGGAACCCGTGGGTGTTGGCCGCCACTGGAGGAGGAAGCGGACGTACTTGCAGCTGAAGATGGGGCACCTCCGCGTCGTCGTAGTACGCGATACCCTCCAGTGGCGGCGCCGCCAGCTCCTCCGGGTACACGTCCCCGTCCGGGGTGAGCACCCACCAGACCATGCCCCCATTGTACAGGGACTCGCCCGTGCACTTCTGCATCGCCGTCTCCGAGCCGGGCTCGAGGAGGACCCGCTCGTGCCACTTCGGCGGTGGCGCCGGGAGCGGCTCCGGCTGGTAAAACAGGCTGACCTTCCGACCTGCCTCGAGGGTGATCGCCGCCATCAAGCCGAGCATCCAACCGATGTTCTCCAGACACCACGCGCACCCTGCAGCGCGCACAGCGCGAAACGACCTTCACGAAGTACACGCTCGCAACTCCTGTGAACACCCCCAGGCCGAAGGCGGCCGACGTGAAGAACTGAGTGGGGTCGACGCCCGTCAAGCACGAATAGGCCGCCGAGCCTATGGCGCGGCGACAGCTGGGCTCGCCAGCGATGGAAACTGAGCTGGAGGCGAGCCAGGCGACGCCTGAATGCATCGAGGACGGGCTCCTCAAAGCAGCGTGACTTGAGCCGTAATCATTACGGACAAGTGGCACCTCACAAAGCCTCTAGACCCAAATCTACAAGTAGTGCAATCATCATGATCATCATCAACGTCATCATCAACAACCGAAACATCTTCATCGTCATCGGTCTCTGCAAACTGACGTCCATACGGGCAGAATCTCAACATTGTCCCCCCTGTGTGCTCCGAAACTGGGGTTTTGGAGGCACGATGGTCCTCCCCAGACATCTCGGCGAGGCTCTGTTGCACTTCCCCTTGCGTGCCAGAGGTCCGTGGTTGCTGTTCCACTTCGGAGGTCCTCGGCGTGTGCGCTCTCGTTCTGGTTTATTTGTTGCACACGATTCTGATCGTTCTGACATACATGCACCCGGTGAAGCATCCTTGCGATGTGTTAATTTCTTTCTTCATCTCTCAAATTGTGCAAAAGGCCGGACCGCGCACGTGCCCGGTGCGGAGGAGGAGGAGCAGAAGGGCCCCCAGGGGCCGCGAGGCTGCGCGCAGCCGAGAGGGGGTCGCCAGGATGATAGCCGCCCGGGCCAGGGCGCCCCGCGCTCCTCTCTGGCGGCGTGGATGCGCGGGGTGCGCGGGGGGCGGCTGCGCCTCCTCGCGCCCTCGAGGGGCGCGATGCGGCGCTGGGCGCGAGGTGCGCGCCGGCCTCCTGCTGACTGCCCACCCACCCTGGTGCGCGCCGCCACTGGCCGGGGATGGTACCCATTGTTCACTTCTAATTCTTCGAAAGTTATTTGATTTTTTTTGGGGCCAAGATCCTTTCATTTCTAATTGTTCTATCCTGGGCCTCTTCCTGGCCACTAGGGGACCAGGAACAACTAGAAACGAGCACGATTAGAACTGAGCACGATTAGAAATGAACGACGTGTACCGATCTGGCGGGCGGTGGGCCACCGCAGACGCGCCCCACTCCGCCCCTCGCTCTCTCCCCGCGAGCGTCGGCCCCACGCCTTCTCTGCGCCGCCGCCGTGACTGGACCCCCTCTGCTCCCTGAGATTCGACGCTGCG